ATTACTGAATGAAACAACCCTCAATAGGTCCTTGGAAATTTTGCAATGGAGCCTACTGCAACAACACGTCAATTATCTGCAGTGACAGGACTTTCACATGAGTCGGTTAAAAAGGTGTTGAAATTACATAAGTTTCACCCTTACAAAACACAAATTCTTCAAGAACTAGGCGATGATGATCCAGACCGACGAATTGAGTTTAGTGAACTCATGACTGAAAGAATTCGCTTTGAACAGAGAATGTTGCATAATATTACATTCAGTGGTGAATGTAAACACCATCGAACGTTTATTTGTGCATGAATTAGAGAACCAAAGGGACGACCAAGGTAACCTAGCTGTAGACGAAGATTTGCTGTACTTCCAACACGATGGAGCACCTCCTTACTATGCAGATTGGAAGAAGAGGTCCCATCGAGTGGCCACCGAGGTCACCAGACTTGGCGCCACCTGAATTTTTTCTGTGAATCACCTCAAGTCAGTTGTTTATAAAACTCAACCTGCGTCACTTGGGGAATTGAGAGAAAAAATTACGCAAGCATGTCGCGCCATTACTAGAACAACATTTGCCAAAGTTCGTGCAGAATTTGAAAATAGGATGTTTCATTGTTTACAAAACAACGGAACCCACTTTGAACATTTACTTAATTGACATTTTTAATAAATTTGCAGTTCAACAAGCATTTTTCGATATCAGCTTTCGTTCGTAAGTTTTAAAATTGACACACTGTATGAAGATAAAATGCGAAGTTCAAGTTACATGATGACCAGTCATCATTCATTTGCTCTTCCATGTACCATCCTGAGATCATGAAGATACTTTATTAGATTGTTGGCATGAATCAGAAGGAAACGTGGTCCAGGTATGGATCCTTGAGGAACACTCTGCTCTGCTTCATTGTTATAAACTGACTTTGCCCAGAAACTCCAAACTTATTATTTCTGAAGTGCTTATTTCACGTTTCAAATTTCAGGGCGGTTGGACTTCATTAATGTGGGCGACATACAAGGGCCGCGTAGATGTCGCCCTGCTCATGATCGAGAGGGGAGCCGACGTTAATGCTCAGGGTTCTCCCGCCACGATGTTCTGAGATGCAGAAGCGCGCGCTTTGATTAGCTGGCGAGCTGAATGACAGGACACCACGTGATAATTTGGTACACTCTGGCTCACCGCCTAGCTAGCTGGATGACAGGACACTACGTGATAATTTGGTACACTCTGATTGGCTCACCGCCTAGCTAGCTGGGTGACAGGACACCACGTGACAATTTGGTGCACTCTGGTTGGTTCACCGCCTAGCTAGCTGGATGACAGGACACCACGTGACAATTTGGTACACTCTGATTGGCTCACCGCCTAGCTAGCTGGATGACAGAACACCACACCGCGTGACAATTTCTGGCACTCTGGTTGGTTCACCGCCTAGCTAGCTGGATGACAGGACACCACGTGACAATTTGGTGCACTCTGGTTGGTTCACCGCCTAGCTAGCTGAGTGACAGGACACCACTTGACAATTTGGTGCACTCCGATTGGTTCACCGCCTAGCTACCTGGATTACAGGACGCCATGTGACAATTTAATGCACTCTGGTTGACTAGGCGAGCTGAAAGGCAACTTGAACCTGAAAGGCAACCTGGATACCACGTCTGATTGGCTCACCACCTCGCTGATACCACGTGACTGTGTACTCTGGCTGGGTGTCTGGCTGGTGTGATAGCGTCTCGCTGAAGTGGGGTTAGATCTACAGCAGAATTGAGGCGAAAATTTTCAACTGAATTTTGGGTTTTGAAAATGGAAAAAGATTGATTTCTGAAATGTCGACTAGTAAAGAAAGACAAGTAAAGTCTATATGCAGTAATTTCGAATGGCATAAAAACTAAATAGTTACCGAACATCGGCAGTTTCTTTGTATGGCATGGGCGGCATTTTTTTCAAAACTGATTTAATTTTTCATAAACCTACACGCAAAATTTATGAATATGACAAGTTACTGACAGGTTCATATTACGCAGTAATAAAAGACATCATAGTTATGTTGGGAAGTTGAAACTTTTCTGCTTGCTCATAGGGATTTTTTTTCATTTCAAATGTATAAATTCTTTTTTTGGTTCAAAATGCTCCATTATTCTGAAAAATTGTTGTTTAATATTACCAGCCTGAACTTGTAAGTTGGCCTCCAGCACATATCTCTATGGTATCTTTCTTTATTAGTATTAGGTTATTTCAACAGTTTTGTCAGTTTTAATGTCGTATTTTTTTGTTGTTCAATATCTCGATAAATATTTATTCTACTGTGTCGTATATACTTATCGATAGAAACGTTTGAACTCTATATATTGATGCTGTTATTACTATACTATACTAGCGACACGCACCGGCTCCGCACAGGTGCAATGCTAGTAGTTACACTAACGCGGTTCTAGGTACCCCTCTCCTCTACCCTTAGCAGTAGGGGTGACGTAGGTACGTGAAGAGGTGCCAAAAAGGCTCAAACAATGGAATGACGTAAGTTCTTGTGCAACTCTTTTAGTTCTTGTAGATCGTCAATGACCAGAAGAGATGTACCAAAAGGGCCTTAACGAAGGACTCTGGGGGTGTGAGAGAGAATACAATGGAATGACGTAAGTTCTTGAGCAACCCTATTGGTGTAAAAAAATGTTTTTCGTATAATTCAGCGTTCAAATAAAAGTATTTGTTAGTAAAGTAATGTTCTTTTGTCTAATTCAATGTTTATATTAAAATAGCTGTTCCTAGATGTTTTTTTTCCTTCCAATTCGTGTCTGAAAGTTATTTTTTATTAACACGCTTTCATTAGCTTCACCTGTATGTATGTATGTTTGTTCATTTGTTTGTAACTCTCAAGTTCGGGATCTGTATTATTGCTTGATCTATTCGCGGGCAGATGGCGCTTCAGGAGCTTCGTCCGCCGGATATTCGTATCCGGCTATCTGACTAAACTGCTATTCGTTTGATCTCTACTAAAAACAGCCTTGAAGTAAGAATTTTTTGATAGTTGGTTCAAAACTTCTGAGATACAAAGATTTTGTGGTGATGATTGAATTCAAACTTATTTTTTCGATGTATTTGTTACTTTTGTAATCAATTACTAGAAGTAGATTTACAATTATTACAAGGGATTCGTTTACAGGACCGCTCCGGCGACACCAACCTAATACATGCTATAAAAGGAGGTCACAGAGGAACGGTGGAAGCTCTACTGAAAAAATATGCAGACGTCGATATTCTTGGAAAAGATAGGAAAACTGCAACGTACGTTGCCGTTGAAAAGGGCAACGCCGGGATCGTGAAACTGCTTCTAACGTGCAACCCTGACCTGGAATTAGCGACGAAAGATGGAGACACTGCCATCCTTAAAGCTGTCAGGTAATATATTTCAGTTCTACCTGGTATTCCATTAGCTAAAACAGTAGTCTGTAAATGAACATAATACATTCTGATGGGATGGTAGCCGGTTGGGTTTACGTGGGTTGTTTGTCTCACTCACTCAACCGATCGCTGTGTGAACCAGTGGTTCAAGCCGCCAGGCTGGACGATTGATAGTGGGGCGACAGCTGGTTTACGGGAAACCAGATTTTAACACATGATTCAATGTGTCGCGTCTCTTCTAGAATATTCCTGTAGGCTTCCGAAGACTTCCATTGGGATATATAAGCACTACCAACAGGCAGATGGGGCTAGTGTAGTTGAAAGAATGGTACGAAGTGAGCTAAAAGGCGATAGGCATTTGAGAATCAGTGTGAAGTTCAGTTTAAAGTTTTTGTGTTGTATTGGCAGTGTAGTAGTAAAACATAGTTCAGTTTAACCGTACAGTCTAGTTGATTATTGTCGAACCCAACGGAGAAACCGTAACAATCACTAACAAATTGACACATATGTACTGTAACAATAATGTTGTAACTATCAGCTAGATGTAAGGATGCAAGAGTTTATAAAAATATTGAACTCAATTCTTGACTTTTTTTTGTGCCCAATATTCTATGTTAACTATCTTCTTCGTAGGTCCAGGAATGCAGAAATAGTACAATTGCTGTTGGACAAGAAGGCGAAGGTGTCGGCTGCTGATAAAAAAGGAGATACAGCTCTGCATATTGCGATGAGGGCCAGATCTAAAGCAATAGTAGAAATATTATTAAGGAACCCGAAAAATAGCCAGTTACTGTATCGACCAAACAGGGCTGGTGAAACGCCGTACAATATCGATATGACCCACCAGAAAACCATCTTGGGACAGATATTTGGAGCAAGTAAGTTGAAGAAATTATTTCGATCAAAGTTCCAAAAATCTCTTATTGGTTTTTGTTCATTCCTGGCTGCTGTGCCATCAAAATCATGATAAACAAAGGTTTTTGTAAAAAAGTCTAGTCTAGTGATCCAAATGATTTATATTTAAAAAGGTTTGTTGGGTAACAGGATCAAATTATCTTGGGAAAACAATTGTTTTCTTGCCAACGATTCGGATTCAAATAAATTCTTTAGGGCTCTGCAACAACGAATTTCATAAAACAAACCTGCCACAAACTTCATAACTATCGTCGTTTTTTCACAACATGAGATGATAAAATTACGTTGGCAAGAGAACAATTGTTTTTCTGAGATAATTTAAAATAATTTTGATTGATGCAACTAATTTTCCTTTATTTTCAGTATTTCAATATTAATATATGTTTACAAAAAGGATTTGAAGCTTCAATAACTTCTACTTATTACATGAAAGCGCTTTTGATAGCAGGTTGTGCTAACATCTTGATTGCTCTACTCAAACTGAACGTTTTATCTTCTTGTTTGTTTTATACGGTCATAACGCATTAGCGCAGGTATTTGTCCCCTCCTGTCATCTGGATGTCTCTTTAAATTTGCCTGTATTTGGGTTACATCAGGTAATACCCTTTTTGTTGGGGCTTCTCTAGGCTCATTGTTTCTAGGAATGTGTAATGTATTGTGTAATACATTGAATGTTAGCTCTTGTGTTTTGATTTGTATTTGTTCCTCGATAAGTGAATTATGACTTTTGATTTTATGGATGTTTATGTTTTCGCAGATATCCATACGGCTTCCTTTATTGACTTGTTTTATGAGTTTGATGTTTTCTGGTGGGGGAAAGTTATGTCTGTTTTGTATGACGTGTGTTGCGAGGTTTGATTTATATGCTACAGGGATTTTGTGCAGGATATTACCTGATGTAACCCAAATACAGGCAAATTTAAAGAGACATCCGGATGACAGGAGGGAACAAATACCTGCACTAAGGCGTTTTAATCATATAAAAGAACAAACAAGAAGATAAAACGTTCAGTTTCAATCGAAAGCGCTCGCATGTAATAAGTAGAAGTTATTAAAGCTTAAAATCCTGTTTGTAAACATATGTTGATATTGAAAGAAAATAAAAATGAGTATTTGATTCACACTGATGATTTTATTTTGTTTCAGGGAGGTTGAACACTAACGAAGATAATGAAAACATGTTAGGCTACGACTTGTACAGCAGCGCCCTTGCTGATATTTTAAGTGAACCTTCCTTATCCATGCCCATCACCGTTGGTTTATATGCAAAATGGGGCAGTGGTAAATCCTTTCTACTGAACAAACTCAGAGGTAAGCATTCTTGTGACCTTTCACGACCTTGGAAAACTTCATCTAATGACTTCGTCATTCAGATCTATGGAACTGAACTTTGCAACTGACCGCCTTGGAGCGCGTTGTTTATCTTTGATATCCGAGAATTGAGTTCTCTGTTGATCCCATAGATGGCGTTTTTGTAAGGGGAGATGCCGTTGACCTCACTCGATCAGGCTTGGACTCTGGTTTTTATCTTAGTATAATGAATCAAAATGGATTCATTTAACTTTTCAAATGAATTTTTTTTCAACAAGTTGCTACCTATTTGATGATTTCAAATTGTGCGCAACTGGTTGCTCTTCGCTGTCAACGTTTGCTGGTTCTTACAACAGTGCTTTGCTTGCTGTAATTATATTTTTTGACGTCCACGCTAAATTTTCTTCAACACTCTATTGTCTAAAAACTATTCCGGTATATTAGATTACGGCATTCGTGAAATTACGTTTCTTGAGTTGCAATCAAGTCAGGTTGAGTAAGATTATGTAGATAAAATCGTATGTTGAAGATTTTGTATTATTAAAATGACACAAACTTCAAATTTTGTTGTTTTTTGAACCTCAAATTCATAATTTTTATTGGTACGAAATATTCATCTCCTCCACACAGTAGGTTCTGATAAATGCCTGCCGAAAACAACTACTTTCCCAGCCAATACCACGCTGGATATTGAATTATATCTAACATACTTTTATGGAAGATTCCTCACAGAGACTGGTCTCGCAGATGTTTCAAGTGGATCACCTGCAGACCGCGGTTTTGAGTTATTACCTCTCGTCAGTACAGGGAAGATCCTACCCAGACAGTGAAGTGCCTGTGACTCGATTAATTTCAACACGGCTCCGCTGCATATACGAAATCTTTGTCTAATAATAGATTTGTTAGGCAAAACAATAAATTATATGATAAGACTGCTTCAGATCACAGTCATAATACAAGAAACGGTGATCTTCTAAAAATCCCTCAGCATCTCATGACAAGCTATAAAAAATCCCCTCAGTATAATGCCATTACGTGCTTCAATAAGCTGCCAAATGAAGTTAAAAAAATCACAAGTGACAAGGTATTCCATGATTATGTTAAAACTATGCTTTTAGAAAGAGGCTATTACAGTTACCAAGATTTTTTAATTGACAATCTCACAAACAATCAAATTCACAGTGGACGAAATTTTATTTAGATTAAATTATGTGAATGATGTAAAATGTTTAGTTAATTTGAGGGCATCTATGCTTACTTGTATATGTGTGTATANTTACACAAAATTCTATTATTTTCAATAGCAAGAAGTTATTTAACCACCTTCCCATTAATTTAAGGCGAATATATAATGGAAAGAAATTCAGAAAGAAAGTGAAAGAATACCTTGTTGGGAGGCCCTATTATAGTGTGGACGAATTCTACCAAGGCTCTATCGAATAATTGACATGTAGCTTTGTGTAAACAAGTTATTGAAACCAACACAAAATGGCTATCAATGTTCATTATGTAGAATTATATATTTACGTTTACTTAATATTCATAAATTCATGTACTTATATTTGTAGCTGTTCAGCTGGACTTAATATTGTTCTGTCTATATACTCTGCTCCGGTGTTTAGGCATTATTTTATAGTTTATATTTGTTAATAATTGTCCCTTATACATGTTTTACTTTACTGGACTTTGCCAATAAGATGTTTATATCTTGGGTAATAAAGCATATTTTGATTTGATTTGATTTGTTTATTTAGAAATGAACATAGGCGTGCAAGAAAAGTGTATTCGAAAAACTTTGGACAATCCACAGGGTACCGTAATAGGGCGATAATTTTCCATTTATGTTGGATACTTTTTTTTGAAAATGGGTATAATTTTTCCAGTTTTTAAATGATTTGGAAAAACACCTAGTGTAAATGACATATTAATCAAATGTGTCAAAGGCGCAATAATTACAGGAAGAACTCTTTTTAATATGAACATATGTATTTCATCTGGACCTGATGATTTTTTATTTTTTAGTTTGTTATTTAATAGTATAAACAATTCGTCACCTGTATATAGAGTCAAATACATCGTGTGAGGATGGAAATCTATTAATTTTTCAAATTCACTGTTTGAAGAGCGTATTGGATTCACCAACTTAGTAGAAGTGTTGATAAAAAAAGTATTAAACAAGGAAGAGATAGTTTCTGGGTCTTCTATCAGCTGGTCATCCAACCTAATATTTATGTCTTTATATGTTCTATGTTCATTTGTTAATTCAGATACCATATTCCATGCGGCACAGCTCTTATTAAGGGCTTCATGTAAGAGAAAGATTGTTAACTAGTAACAGCTCCATCTCGTGAACAAAGCCCCAAGCTAAAAATGTTGTTTAAAAATGTATGTCGAAATGTCTTTATCCATTGCACAAGATGTAAAAGCTGTATTTATTTTTTCCAGAGGAAATGAAGAACTTTGCCCGCGAGTGGGTTGATCCAGTCTTCCAGTTCACAATCATGCTTTTCATCATCCTTGTGCATATTGCCCTCGTCATCGGAACTATCATAGGGCTCTCGCTGCGGTCCTGGATAGTAGCGGCATGCGTAGTTGTCGCATTTGTATTACTAGGTTACCTGTTCATAGCTTTAATTTGGTACGCCAGCAGAAGATACGACTGGGACTGGGCGTACAATTTCAACTTGACTCTCACGAAAAAGATGGACAACTTGAAGCTCGTCCTGCAAATTTTGTTTTGCCATCCTCCCGGCGCTTCGCATGATGGACTTGCTGTACAACCAATCAGGTATTTATTAATAATAGATAGATAAAATGGTGTAGACTTTCGCGGCTGAGGTTTTCAATGTCACTGTTTTTCGAGTTTGAACCGTGGATTTTTGGAATTTCTTCCTGACGTTTCGCTGGCGCGAGTAGCTAGCTTCTTCAGAGGTTTAACCATCATGGCTTGCTGTCCGATGACTACCTTTTGGGCTTTGTAAAGCGTATTTATTCCTTGTCAGGTAATCAGCTGTATTTGTACCTGTACTTGAACGTGGAACATTAACAATCTTGCTGCCTATTGTCATTCTGTTCGTTATTCTGGAATTCCTTAAAATGGGGTTCCATATTCGATTGAGGTTCACCGCATATTCTTTTCTGTTGAAATTCTCCATGTGTTTGTGGATCTCTATTGCCTCCCATACCAATCGGTTACAGTATCCCTGGTTGGGGGGCAATTAGTTCTGTGTTTTCAAACAAGATTGTGTGGTCTCCTTCACTAAGCGCGTGTTCTGCCACAGCTGACTTGTCCGTTAGGCTTAGTCTGCAGTTCCTTTTATGCTCTTTCAGTCTTGTTCCCGAGGATCGTTTAGTGGTTCCGATATACAGGGTGATTCAAAAGTACTTTGACAAACTTCAGGAGGTGATTCCTCACAATATTCTAATATGAATTGTCCAAATAAGTAAATGTCCGGAAACGCTTCGTTTTCAATTAGTTCTGTGTTTTCAAACAAAATTATGTGGTCTCCTTCACTAAGTGCGTGTTCTGCCACAGCTGACTTGTCCGCTTGGCCTAGTCTGCAGTTTCTTTTATCCTCTTTCAGTCTTGTTCCCGTGGATCGTTTGGTGGTTCCGATATATACCTTCCCACAAGTGCAAGGTATGAATAGACCCCTCCTGCTGATAATGGGTCTCTTTTGTCTTTAGCCGACCTGAGGCTTTGTTGTATCTTCCTAGTGGGTTTGAAGACTGTTTCGATGTCGTGTTTATCCAATAGCTTTCCAATTCTGTCCGTGACCCTAGGGATAAACGGTAGATATGCGTGTGCAACCATCTGATCCTTTATCATGGTGCTCTTCGGTTTCATGGCTTTCCTGATCTCGGAGGCACTGTATCCATTCGATCTCAAGGTCACTTCGAGGTATTTCAGTTCCCTCTCCAGATGTTTCTCTGAGCCCATTCCATTAGAGTGGAGATGACTCCTCTCTTTTGGCTAGGATGGTGGTTCGATAGTGCGTGCAAGTATCTCTCCAATTGTGTGGGAGTTTTTGATGCACTTTGTGGGTTAGTCTGGTACCACGTCGTTCTACTAGTACATCTAGGAAAGCTATCCGTTGGTCCTGCTCAAGCTCCGTGGTGAATTTTATCCTAGGCTGTTGGGCGTTCAAGTGGTGTAGGAAACGGTTCAGGGCGTCTCTTCCACGTTTCCAGATGACGAAGGTTCATCCACGTAACGTAGCCACAAAGTCGACTTCAATTCAAAAGTGTCTATCACTTTTCCTTCAAACCGTTCCATGAAATAATTTGCTATCACTGGGATAAGTGGACTCCCCACCGCAACGCCATCTAGTTGCTCCTCATAGAAGTTTCCCCTCCATTGAAAGTAACTTCCTGTGAGACATGCTCTAAAGAGTTCGACGACGTCATTCGGGAACACGTGGGCTAATCCCCTTAGAGAGGGGGTCCCACTGGAAGGAAAATTGTAAAAATATCAAATATGTGTACATATAAATCTGAAAATGAAACATTAGAAATGAATAGCTCCCAGTTTCAAACACGATTACAAACATTTTAAAATGCGCGTCACATTGCGCATGATTATTGAAAGTAGAGATTATTTCTATGAATACATAGCGCAATTTTGAATAAAATTTGGTTCATAAATTTCTACAGGCCAGAAAATATTCATTGGTACTGTAGGGCTCTAGATTACATTAGGATTATCTTACAGATTTCAGAAATCTGTTAACAACGACAATATCTTTTATGTTTTCCAGAAGATTATTATAAAATTTCATTCCAGTATACATAGTGCTACGTTCATATAAGGATTTTGCACTGATGGGATATGAGAGGTCTTTCTTTCTTGAGGTGTCTCACGGTGGCCTCCGCGAAGGTTTTAGAAGGTGCAGCGACATTACTGTCGTTGCGCGGCTTCTTCAACCTTTTTGGGGTTCCCTCCGTGGAGGTACACAAGTGAGGGAGCTTTCCTGCAGGGGAAGCCAGTTCCTTGCCTTTATTCAAGGCGGAGCTCTTGGCGTCCGTCGCAGGAAGTACCCTTGCTATTGGAGGTGGGGTGGGGGACGAGGAGGGTGCGCTTATAGTTGCTGCCACTCCTGCCACCTTCGCTCTCTTTCTCCTTTTGGACTCGGCGCCGCAAATGCGCTTACGCCTTGGCCTTTGTATTACGTCACGAGGTGATCTGCTATGTCCAGCCTCATTCCAAGCGGTAGATTGGGGTGCACATTTATGTTCATCCCCAGCCAGCTTAGATTGAGGTGACCACGTCTGTTCAGCTTCGGGATTGGTTTTTGTTTTTGTTGTTTCTGTTGTTTCATTCATGTGTGTTCCCACGAGTAGCAAGGGAAGAGTTGGTAGTATATCAATGAGTTTTCTTTCAGGTTTTTCTTCACCGATCAAACTAGAGTAAGTAGCACTGCTGGAGGAGAAAATTCAGTAGTTCAAATGATAGGATCTCTGTACGATGCCATAGAAAACCGTTACGGATCTCTTGCCACGCGATTGTATAGAGCTTTTAAACCAAAACCAGGTAAGTACCCGAAACAACATATTCTTGTAGAGTTTGTTACACTTAATATCTGTTTACTTTTAGTGAAAACTTCGTCAACGTGGACTTGGAGGAAAGTTTGTTGTTTACCTTACGTAATATTCTTTGAGATTATTTTTTTGATGATAATAATCGGAACGTGTGCCTTGACCATTTACCTTATCCACGCCAATTCCCAAAAAATTGAGTAAGTATATCACCTGAACGTAACTTATTAGGTTGTTTGAAAAGTTTTGTCCGTTTTGATGTCGTGTGTTTTTATAGCTCCATATCTCAATAAATGTTTATTCCACTTTGTTGTGGTATACAGTGTGTAAAAGCCAAATGGAATAAATTTATTATTTCTGTAACTGTACATATTTGAAAAAAATCCCGAAACACGTCAAATGTAAATTATAATTTGACCTTCTTCAACGTAAAAATGCCACCTCTACCTTCAACCCCCTTCGAATGACATGGGAAGTATAGGTTTGTGATATATCGTTTGAAAGGTCTCTTCATTCTCTATTCAAAAATGTTATCGCTTTCAAGTTTATTGCAACAATTGAGATAAAATAAATCAAAATCATGTAGTTACCGAAATTCGATAAAATACACCCAAAAACTAAAATATTATGAAATGTAGAGTACGAAAAATAACTATGGATGTTAACGAAGTAGATGTTCAAAATAACATTATTTAACATATCGGGCGTGACCGACCTAATCGCAAGCGTTATTCGTCCTTTTAAGTCATTCAAATCTGAAGGTTTAGTTTTGTACACGTTGCTCTCTACATACCCCCATAAAAAAAATCCAATGACGAAAGATCTGGTGATCGCGCTGGCCATTCAATCGATCCTCGTCTCCCTATCCACCGATTGGGAAATGTTGTATCGAGGCAATGCCGAACATTAACTTGGTAATGTAGTGATACTCCATCCTGCTGGAACTTGAGGGTTTCCTGGATCAGGATATAAATTTGCTAAACTTGGAATGACATCATTTTGAAGTGATGCCAAATAATTATCGCCATTCAAATTGTCCCCAATCAAAAAGGGACCAATGTTATGGTTTCCTACAATCTCTGCCCAAACATTAACCTTTTGTGGGTATTGCGTGTGTTCTCTCATTTTATTTTCTTTTAATATGTTTACTATCGATGTATGGCTAACATTGAATGTAGTGGATGCCTGTCTACTCGATGTATGTGGGTTTTCCTCAATCTCAAGCATCACATCTAATTTGAGTTCATCACTCATTGCATTGGCAGCTGCTTTTTTTACCCTGCCTCACATGACCAAGCTCGGGAAACTGCTTCTCTATTTTGCTTATTGTTCCTTGAGATATGGGCGATAAATTAGGAAATTTCTCATGAAATAAGCGAGCTGCTTCCTGTTATGTTCGGGTTTTATCCCCGTGACAAATCATTTGTAAAACTGTTATTTTATGCATTTCCGTTAAAATCTAACCATTTGTCAGACTTGAAGTTAACGAACTAGAAACTTAAATTACAATACTGACAACTAATGTTGTAACATACAAAACAAGTTGTCAAGGCGTTTAAAAGTAACGTTGCCACGGAAATTATTTATAGTTTTTTAAAGGATACTATCGAAAAAGAACATTACTATGGTTTTTGCTTACTTTCTTATTATCAATACCTCAACATGAAATAAGTTTTGAGTATATTGCAATAAGTTTTGAGTGTATTTTATCGAATTTCGGTAACCACATGATTTTAATTTATTTCATCTTAATTGTTGCAATAAACTTGAAAGCTATAACATTTTTGAACAGAGAATGAAGAGACCTTTCAAAGGATATGTCACAAACCTATACTTCCCATTTAAAAAATTGAGATTTGTACCTGTCATTCGACAGGGGTTGAATGTAGGGGTAGCATTTTACCGTTAAAGTATGTCGAATTATAATTTAAATTTGACGTGTTTCGGGATTTTGTTAAAATATGTACCGTCACCGAAACAATGAATTTATTCCATTTGGCTTTTGAACACTGTATACTGATCGATAGATGATTTTGTACTCTATGCATTGATTCTGTTCACTTGTTACAAATTTTAATTTTTTGCCGCTTTTCAGCTCATTACTATATGATTATTTAAGCTGTTTTCGGCCAATTTTTCTCTACAAATTTGAATTAAACCAAAGCGTTACCGAAACAGTTCGAAAAGGGCAAATGCCTAGTTGATTTTTCGACAAAATGTACCAAAAATTGCCTGCGAAACTCACAAATCACAATCAGAAAATTAAACGAATTGAGCGTCGAAGTTCTGCCTCATCCACCATACTCTCCAGACCTCGCGCCAACCGACCACCATATTTTCGATAACTTTGTCACCGATAGAACCTTCGCCAATCAGGATCAGGCAAAAACGGCCTTCATTGATAACGTCAGATCCCGAGCACAACATTTTTTTGTCGACATAATGCAATGAAGCTAGCGCCATCTATGTGCTACACCTGAAACTTTCCAGCTCATGTAGTACTTGAGTAATAGTAACTCATTTAGTTGCCTTTCTGGTTGATTCCAGAAATGTCTTCATTGCTGTGCTTGACTGACTGACAGCTTTTTACTCACACATCAATTCCATCTTGATCCTGATAGCGCACGGTGGATGGAAAACATTTCCAGATGTTACAAACTCAAGAAACTTAACTTGCTTTGTTTGACAGCATTTAGAACTTTGATTTTGACGTTGTTCTTGATTATTTTGAACACGATCGTCACCGTTATTACCCGCGGTCGCCATCTTGTATAATATGTATACTATACACTATGTATTCTATTGAATGTCAATATCCTTTTGGATCTTATGACAATAAACATTATTATTCAAAGAATGTGAATTTCCTCGACCGGAGATAACTGTGTGAAAGCTATTTTCCCATTTTTTTTACCGTGGTCTGTAGGTTTTTATGTCTGACGTTTCGTCTACTACTGCAGTAGACGTCAAAGGCGATGTTGTAACAGTCGCAGTGGCCAAGTTGATGCTCGAGTTGTTCGCGTTGTTCCGAACGCATAAACCTACATTAACTCGTGCATTGTTCCGAACGCATAAACCTACATTAACTCGCATAAACCTACATTAATTCGCATAAACCGGCATTAACTCGCATAAACCTGCAGACCACAGCGAAAAGATCCAGAAAATGGCTTTCACACAACATTATGTATTAGTATCTATTATCTCTCATGACTAATGTGTGAAATACTCCTACTTATTGAACTACTTAACGCAAGATAAGGTTCTCCAGCCAATAGAGAACATTTCTCCATCTCTCTCCTTTTTCATTGATTGATCAGTCATGCGTTCATTTCTAGCGTACAAGAAACTTATGTTGGCGTTACCCTGAAGATAATCCTGATCGTTATTGCTTTACTGTTGGGAGTGGCCACAATAGCGAACATGTATACTTGGAGCAAACTTTTAAGAGCCGTATTCTTCTCTCAGCGAAGGCATTTGCAAAGGTCCATATCCAAGCTGGAGACGCTCAAGTCCGAAGGGTTTTTGCAAACTCTGCGCGAAGAAGTAACGAATTGTCATTCGATAGAAAAGGATGTCGGTACTGAAACTTTTATTATATCTTTGCAGGTGAACCTCATGAAAGAAATGGTCAAATGCCTGGATAGTTTGTGTTCACAGCAAACGAGGCTCGTCATCGTAGTCGATGGTCTGGATAGTTGTGAACAGGACAAGGTGCTGTTGGTGTTAGACACTGTACATATGCTATTTTCCGATGCAAACACCCCTTTCATTGTGATATTAGCGATAGATCCTCATGTTATTGCCAAGGTAAGTCGATCGTATCCATCTAGTTAGGGATTGATCGCTTTTTTATTTCATTAATGCTTACATGTTTGTTATTCTAACAGGTCGCGTGGGAGAAGGTTAGTTTTAATGTTGTTTCTTTGGTGTGAATGTTGATTTTGTTGAATATGACGTTCCATTTTTGTATTGTTATTGGAACTGTTGTGTCACACACTCATCGAATACCTTTTTTGAATTTTGTAATATTGGATATGCAGTAATCTCTTTATAATTATACAGTGAAATTCCAGGAGTATTTATTCTTCAGCTCAATTTAGAACTACTCTCTTCATCTGTTGCACGAATGATATTGACGATTTACCCACCAATGTTTATTTTCTTTCACGCCGAGTTGAAATATCTGCTGAATTCCTCTAATCACCTATTAGGTTGTTTCAAAAAATTTGTCCGTTTCTATGAGTCCATTTTAAACTGAAATATTTTCTGTTCTGTGACTTCTCAAATGCGTTCGACTACGTGAACCATGAAACACTATTATTATTATTAATTAAAAGCTTTTATTTAATTTGACTTGTAAGTATGTTAACAAATCTTGCAAGTTTAATTTGACCCACTTCCCGGTATCCGATTGACCTGAAATTTTGCTTGCTGGTCCAGAACCGACGACAATGCATGTAAATCATAAACGTGACCTAATGCTGTTGCCAGGATCGGCTCCGTACGAGAGATCTCCTCAGCGGTAAATAGAAGGGACACGAAATTTTGTATACACATTCGTTTATGATAGGCAGTTGGTATGCCCATCATGAAATAGATGCCACATCCAGGGTTGGCTTCAATAGAAAAAATATATTTCTAGAAAAAAATCAAATCAAGCTTTTACCTTTGAATACCTGCTTCCCGACTCTAAAAAGAAGACCCTGTTGTATATTAGCTCTGCTAAACGAAGCTCTGGGAGGGTTAACAAATATTTCTTCGGAAAAGAAGGTTAGAGAAAGAGAAATTGAAACGAAATGAAAAACTTGCCAATGAAAGCGTTAACTTGAAACGCCAAAGGCCTCCTGAGAAGAATTAGACTGTTCGAAATTAACTGGGACTCGGCCATCTAATAATGACGCCACCAATGAAATGAATAGACCAGGGGTCTCCAAACTTTGAAGCCTTCGGGCCATAATGATTTTTTCAGTTTGTTCCAAGACCCAATTTCTGCCCTTAACTATATTTCTAGACTAGGATAGTCACAAAGTGCGTGACCTAAGCAAACTTTTTTTGCATTTCAATTATTATTGTGTATTGTGACACTTAACGACATCTAGTGGCGAGTAGTGGTACTATGTACTATCTTTTTCAGCTACCCGCTAGGTGGCATTAGGCGTAATTAAATATTTGGAATTACCGCGTTGGTTCGAGAAAGTTCTGGTTCTAGCTAGTGTATTCCGATCACCTCGAGATGGCAGTAATAATTGCATATAAAAAGGCTAGCGGC